CTAGGGGGGGGATTGTATAGGGATTTTAATAGGGATTTTATAACTTTTCTAAAAATAACAGGCTTATTTAATATATATTTTAATTGTTTTTAGATATTTATTGTATAGTTCCGTTTTTATTGCCTGTAAGCCGCCCTGAGTCCTTCGGGAGAAGGGCGGGGTATAAATTAAAGTAATAATAATAATAATAATAATAATTGCTAATTTGACTTCCAAATCAGGTGAAAATGTTCTACTTACACAGGAACAGTCCGAAGCAATTCTAGAATACCCTGCCCATTCCACTGCTGTGCTGCATGAAGCTCTTCTGTACATACTCCAACAATCTAGAGCAATATGTAATAATATGTAATATTATGTAATATGTAATAATAATATCTTTTATACATAACAAGAAAATATATTGGAAAAACTAACATGAAGCAGCACAAATTTAAATGATAGAGAAAAGGGGAAAAGTCCCGTGCTCTGAAGGACGGGACCTAAAATCTGGGGAAAACTCTAGCGAATGCCTTTTGGCTAAGATCAAGTGTAGCCTTTCAGAACACCCGTGGTCGTTCATTAGCCTTCCCCACCCTAACAGATGGCACAGAAATGCTCTGGAGAAGAGGGGAAAATGTTAGTAAAACATGAGTATTTTGAGCCTTTCCCTCCCCTCTAGAAAGCTTAGAAAGGCTCCAGAGGGGAGGGGAAGGGAGGGGAAACATTCTCCCCACCCCCAAGGCTCAGAAAGCCGGCATCTGCTAGCATTTTCATCAGATTTGAGGTCCATCCCATGAACTAAAGTGACTTAAAAGACTACCAAATTCATCATGGGAAATTTAGCCTTAACCAAAATTACTTACATAATTTTTAATGGGAAATGGTATATAATGTCTTTTTAATATCTGAAAATATGAAATGACAGATAATAATAATAATAATAATAATAATAATAATAATAATAATAATAATAATAATAATAATAATAATAATAATAATAATAAAGTTGGAAGGGACTTTATCTGTTTATCTGGAAAAAGAAAATATTACTTCTTATAGACAATTAAAAGAATACTGACTTCTAGAGAATACATACTTGGAGAAATGTTACAATTCCAAATGGTGTCTGAACTGGCTGCATTTGTGGATCTTCAGTCAGGAGCATATGTTGGATTCTAGACTCACTGTTGTCCAATGGACTATGCCATGATACATGGTCACCACTACAGAATGTGTTTTCTGTTGAGAAGAATGAAGGCAATCTTCTTAAAAAACTAGTATAATCAATAAATGGTCAAAACAATCATCACATCACCATAAAAAGATTACAAGAGAAATACTAACCATTTATTTTCTATTGTTCTTACGTATAATAATGAAGATATTTTTTTTTGTTTTAAAGTCAAATGGCTAACATCTACAGGTAGTCCTCAACCACAATTGAACCCAAAATTTGTGTTGCTAAGTGAAACATTTGTTAAATAAATTTTATTCCATTTTATGATCTTTCTTGCCACAGTTGTTAAGTGAATCACTGCAGTTGTTAATAACATAGTTATTAACTGAATCTGGCTTCTCCATTAACTTACTTGTCAGAAGGGTGCAAAAGCTGATCACATGACCGCAGGAAATTGCAACCGTCATAAATATGAACCAGTTGCCAAGCATCTGAATTTTGATCATGTGACCATGGTGATGCTGCAATGGCCATGTGAAAAACAGTCATAAGTCACTTTTTTCAGTGCTGTTGTAACTTTGAATGGTCACTAAATGAACTGTTGTATATCGAGGACTACCTGTATATACAAATATTGAGTTTTCAATCACACTTGCTGTGACTGCCATCTTGATTGTTTGTCACACCCATTTGGCACCACTGATTAGAAGGCAAAGAAAGTTACCACTCTGATTTTTTTTTAACAAGTCTTCTATGAAGTGACTATATTCTTTAAAGTTCATTCTACTTAGCAAGCTGGTACAAAAGGACAATTTGTCTCTAACCATCCTACTCATTCCTCTGGATTGGATTCCATGAATTTTTCTACATAAAATGTTGGTCCCACCAACCCATGCAGGAACCCTAACTTCCAATAAACAGGAAAATGTAGTGAAAACTTATTTTTATTTTGCATCTTTATATATATCACTCTTCATTAAAAAGTGTCAATGTGGCTTACAAAGTTATAACAAAAACAGTAAGGCACCAGGCTAGAAACCGAGACACCAGGAGTTCAAACTCTGCCTTAGCCATGAAAGCCATCTGGGTGACCTTGGGCCAATCACTCTCTCTCAGACAAATTACCTCACAAGGTTGTTGTACAAAAAATAGGAGAAGGAAGAAGTATTAGGTACGTTTGCTGCCTTGAGTTATTTATAAAAATAATAAAGGCAGGAATGAATGAATGAATGAATGAATGAATGAATGAATGAATGAATGAATGAATGAATGTGACCTTGATAAATAAATTGTTCAGACCCTGGCAAAACATCCCAATGTAGTGGCCCAAATATTTTGTCAAAAATTTACTTCTACTTTATTTATTTCTACAAACTAGTTAGAATAAAAATGCTTAATGTATACCAGTAAAGTTAAAATCCATTTATTATAATCATTCATAGTTGGCTGCTGGCTTACAACTGTTGTAATAGCGCTATCAAAAGCTCAGATATGCCATTATTTTCTATTAATTTTATCTGTTTGCACAAAACAATCAATGCAAAGAAGTTTTAATCTCATATGCATTTCTAACAACCGCCCCCCATTATCCTAACTAATCCATAGGGAATCTTTGGATCCATAGAGAATCTGATCCTGGAAAACCTGGCTTAGATGAAACAAGTCCCATTAATCCCATGGCTACAGGAAAACAAAATTCTACTGTTCAACAAATATGAAGGTTAGGCCGTTTATTAGAGCTAGGCCTTGGTGGTTGAGAGTAACATAACTTTTAGTCTCCAAATCCACTTTAAAAATATCTTGCAGGAAGGTTAGGAAGAACATATTTTCATTGGAAACCCTCACAGCCTTTGAGGGAAACCTGGATTTTTTTACCACCATGAAGCTACAGGAATTTGGCCAGAGGATTAGGTGCAGGGAACTAAAGTGTAACCTAAGCAAGATATATTTCACATTTATTTTAAATAGACATGTATGGAAAATCAACTGATACATTCAGATTTCAAAAGCATGTAAAGACCTATAAAGAAAAGGGACATGCAGCTGTTCAAGACTATTCAAAGCCACCTTAAGAGTCCTCAGCATTCCAATTTTCAATGTCTTCCAAGTCATGAACAACACCAGCCAAGACTCTGATTAACTAAATGCTTTAATTATGTAAACCTCAGTCACTATTTTCCATAATGAAAGGAGTTATAAAAGAGATTTATTCCTGAGGCTTGTGTTTTTGTCACAATATTCTCTCAGTTCTGTATTTTACTGCCTAGATTTCTTCCTTCAGGAAATCCTAACCATTTGCAACCGGTTTTTAAATGCTAATACAATATATCTGTTGAAAGTCCACCTATTTTTGTCTATTTGGATGAAGACTACTTAAGAAACGTCTTTCTTCTACAGATGTAACATTTATACTGACTGTCAATTAAACTACAGAAACCAGCTATATGAAAAATTATATGAATTCAATTTAAAAGCCTCAGAGTGAGTAAATCCAATACCAAAGCTTTAAAAAATGGACCTTGCTATCATAAACAACATGCAAGACCTGTCTTTCTATAGAGGTTTCCCACAATACTTGGATCAAATCATTATCAAGACAGATTATTGCTATGCAATTTGAAGTTTTGTGAAAAAACATTAAACAAACATTTTATCGCTGAAACGACGACTAATTCCTTTAATTTTCAGTGGATTGTATCATCTTCCAATGTTATCATTCAACCCAAATTGTATCAAAATTCTAAACATCCTAAATGAATGGAAAGCCAGTAAGAAGATGCAGATAACAATAATTTTAAAAACCATAACCTGTTATATGAAAAATATGGATGGATGCTGTGATTTTTACTTTAAATCAATTAGTGAATAAGAATTAAGACTCTTTATCATTTTTCTGTTGCCACCCACTGGCAGTATAACAATTATGACACCTATTAATACCTAGATTTGGACCACCAGCATTTTTAATTTCTGAGATACTTCAATAAATTGAGGTTTACTGATATTCAATGAACATCACTAAATGTTAAGAGACAAAAAAACCCTTTATTATTAAAAGTCTTTATTATTAATAAATCTATTTGATATGCAAATTTTAAAACCAGAATAGAACAAGGAATTGAAGATCCCAATTTGTTAAAATATTTGGAAACTGATAGATGAGGGAAAAATTAAAATCAGACAACAGAGAGGAGCTGTTGCGAAAATAAAACGGGAACTGATAGTGACAATTGAAATTAGAAAGTAAGCCTGTTTTTGATGAAGCTGATGAAAGTTTATAATCTTAGAGTATAACTTGATTCTCAGCTGTCACTGGATTCACACATCATAGCTGAGGTGAGGTGTGCTATAATTACAGTGGTGCCAAAAGTAATCTGCAAACTGAAAAACTAGATTCTAAATTAGTCACAATATTCTGTGGTAACATAAGCTTTTATTTTGGAAATTTAAAATCCTTATGACTTCCAATAAATGCTTACAAAAACCACTTACATATTAGAAATGTCACCTATTTTAAAATATCTTTGACTGCGTCATATGAGAAAATGCTTACTATAAGTAACAGAACAAAAAATATGACATTCTAGAACAAGTTTAAAATGAAATTATAAATACTTTCACATATCCAATGATCAATTAAATTACTTTATTATTTTGTTTGTAATATTTTTGTTATTCACAATGTTAAAATCAATTATACAATATTTTTATAATAGTAGTTTAAATATTCTTTTATTAAACTCTTACTTCCAACAAAGATGTCACCGATTCAAATAATAATTGGAGCAATCTGAATGTGCTTCCAAAGAACTGCCACTCTCAATACTTAAATGATCAACATTACAATCCACTTGAATGCAAGATTAAAAAGATTCACTCAATAACCACTGAAAGGTAAATCTGAAACATGTACCTCTTGTTCAGACGTCAAAGCAGTCATTATCCCATGAAATATTACCCAATCTCTACTTGGTACACAGGAAGAAAACACTGCTGAGGCTTGAGAGCACTGAATGACAGAAGGCTACAGCCACTGAGACTCAATGTAAAAACAGATAAAAGCTTTTGAAGCAAAAGCCAATTTAAACAGCATAAAACATCCAGGTTTTTTTTAATATGAAAGCCATAAAAAGTTCAGTAAAAGATAGGAATTGTCTATTAGCTGAGTATAGAGACTACAAAGTAATAGATACCCAAATGGAAATAAAGGAAAAATACAAGATAAAAATATTTATTTGAATAAAGCAAAGGTGCTATGATAGGATGTTTTAGAAATATGAATAAACATAATGAAATGATTTGGGCTATTAAATGTTATTTCATTTAGAAAATTTGTTAACAGAGAAGAGATTTCAATTATTAATGTTCTCACCCTGAGCTTGCTTCCCTTTTATCCAGTTCAAAATAAGATCACCAAGAGCATTCCCCCCAAGACCATTGACAGAGCAAATCATTATTATATAAAATGAGAGCAAACCCCACTCCCTACTAACACTGATGATGTTACCTAGTTTAGTAATGAAATGTCTGCAGAAAACAACCAAGCTTAGAGAGCACCAAGGACCCGGCAATTGAAGGTATATTTTAACTTTGGAAACATGAGAGCAAAATGTATTGCAAGCAAAAAGTGCTAAATATTTTATAAATTAACATTTAAAATAAAAGAAAGTATCACAAGCAAGGTAGAGAAAGATTTAAACTTTTGGCTGTCAAATAATATTGAATGGAATTGCTTAGCAAACAAGGCTTCAGTAAAAGAAAGATGTCTTTCAGGTGAAAAATAACTATTTTCTAAACAATAATTAAGAAGAGGGGTGGGAACTGATTTATTTATTGGCTGTTGGGACTGAAGTTCGTGAAATAGGAATTTCAAACTGTCAAACCAGAGAAAACCAATTTGTAAATAAAAAATAGACAGCAGAGACGTTCCAAGTTGGAAAACAAACAGCTACAGAACTACTAACTCAAAAAGACAGGACAAAAAAGTCCAGGATTTAAACTGGTCTGTAAAATAATCTGGATACCATTATTCAACTAAATATTCAAAGTCCTTATTCCTAGATCATGAACAGTTTCCAGAGTCCTTACTAGTTCAAGTCATAACCTTTAATTTGTTTTATCAAAATAAAAATATGAGTTTCATCTTTATGCAAAATTCAAATTAATGAAATATCTATAAAATAGGAGTTATACTCATTAGAGTCTAGTTAGACTAATTATTGCAAAAAAACATTATTTAGTGTTTAAAGTAAATAATTAAATTATACCTGATTGAAAGACATATCTGGCTAAGCCTTGCATTAACTCTGCTGGCCAGGTGGGTGGTGCAGATTCCCCAGTTTCACGCTTAAGGCGAAATGTCAGCTCAAATCCAAAACCACTTGGTCCATCTGGTCCAGTAAACCTGAAGGAAATTAACCACAAAAAGTTTCATAACAAAGGTTCATGAATATAAGCTTAAAAATTCCACTGTTCATTTATTCTACTTGTTTTATTAGCATGCCTCTGTATCAATACAAATTCACAATACTGAAAGTTAAAAAGATGCAGAACGAATTTATAATGGCAGCAAAAATAAAACAAAGCTTAATTAAACAGTATCTATCAGTCTAGAATGGCTCCCAAGTTTCAACAGCATCGCATCAAGAAATTGCAATTATAAAAGTGGGTGAGTTTAGAGGAATTTATGCAGAAAGTTTACTAATAACTTTGATAATTCATTAGTTTCCACGCTGCTAGAAAATATTCATCCCATCAGAACAGTCTTAGTTTCCCAAACTTTCAATAGCTACTGCAGCAGACAAAATTGCAATGACTAGTAAATGTCTTCAGCAAGATGCCTTTTTCTACAAAGATACCAAGTTCATTTTAGAAGTTATGAAATCAGTGTTTTGATCTGTAAAGGATGCATGTATGGTAGCTGTAACCATTTACTCCAGATGAAGATCAAATTAGCAAACAGATTCTTTGATTCTCTGGATTTAGAAGGAAGGAAGGGCTATGGATTTGTAGCCCTTCTGGGTCTTCTACAAGGAAAACAAGAGACAGCTCTTATGAAATTCTAAGCTACAGTAGTTAATCTTTATACTGTACAATGACTACAAATGCCACCCTTGTCCCTCTAGCTTATATTCAAGTTTTCCAAGTCACACATTTCTGCAAATTAGACAAATTCATGGAATCTGCCACTATAGCCAAAAGGAATTTTGAGAATAGGAGTAGAGACCGTTCTTTTTCTAAAGAATTGCACTGCCCGAGAGGAAAGGATCATTAAAGGTTGAATTGCAATGTTCATGTTTGTTATGCGGAAGTATAGATACAGTAGCCTGTTTTGACTTAAATACAAATTTAGGTTAAAGACGGACTAGGGGAACAAAACTTATTCTTAACTCAGGGACTGCTTGCAGAAAGCACAACTGACCTTAAGAATGCCAAAGTGGCTGTGTTGGGGGGAGAGGGGGTGATGAGTTTAGTATTAGCAAGCAGAGGTCACACATAGTTGTCAAACTCCCAGATAGAATTAAGGACTTGATAAAAGCAGCACTGGAATTCTTAATTATCAGTCCTCCAGCATTGTTGTGTTCGCAGTATCTTAGGATAGCAAAAGATGCAAAGAGGATAGAATTCAAAGTAAGGAAATCAGGAAGAAAGAAATGGCCAATCTGTAATACTGAAAAAAGATAAATGAGAATCTGTCTATCTTTACTGTTTTAATAATTTTAATAATTAGCTCTTTCCTCTCTCAGTACGTAATATTGGAAAACTGTTTTTACACTAGAAAGGAGATTATTCTCTGAAGAAGTACATGCAGATATGCTGCAGATCGGCTTTGCCCTGAGCTAAATTTAGTCACATTCCTCTTATTTAAAACAGTCTTTCTAAGTTCAACTACTGTGCTATAAATATAAAGCAAATATCTCCCCATGCTTTTAGAACAAACAACAAAAAAGAGTTTTTAATAATATTGGTATATTTTAGATCCAGGAATTGTGTTTGAATTTAAGTAGTTCATGTCAGCCTCTTTGTAGGTGGGCTGTTTCTCAAATTAGCTACCTCAAACAATTGACTTTTAAAGCCAAGCATATTCCATCAGACTTAAGCAAAACAAAAAATGAAGGTGGTCATGGCTTCCAGGGCGGTCTACCACCAACAAAGAACAGGAAATGTGCTGAAATGCCTTAGTGGGGTGCATAAAAGATTCAGGTTTTGCATGTAACATATGTGGTCAAAGGTTTAAGATATATATAACTATCCCAAAACAAATGGGTTGAAAACATTTACATTTTATTTTCTTTTTCCTTGAAACAGAATTGGAGCAACCACATATAGAGAAGACTGAATAAAAAGTTGTGGATAATATATTCTGAATTGCAAAACAAAGGGTAAAATAGGCACTGCCAGCTAAAATGATCACTATATTAAACTCCATAGTTTCAAGCCTGCTCCTGATATAGTCAACCAAATATTTTATTTTCAACAAGACTAATTATATAATGATATAAGTATATGTGTATAGTATAGGTAGAATATACATACATACATACATACATACATACATGTGTGTGTGTGTGTGTGTTCAAGAAGATAATCGAACACCAGGATAAAATACAAACAAAACTGTTTTAATACACTTAGCTTTAGTTGGCTAACTGCCAATGTCGTCAGAGTAAAATGCCAGTGTTTTGGGAGCTTGCTTATAAAGCTGGCCGTTTTTGCACTCTGCTCATGGAGCGACTTACCGGTCTGCCCACCCCAATTGGCCGTATTGTTTCTAGCTGTCCTGCATCAGTCCGTGTGTTCCTAAACTCAGGGATCATTTCCTCCCTTATGGTTGCTCTCCTAGTCTGCCTGGTTCCTGTCCGAGTGCCTGTTGCTGTGGGTTGGTTTCCTAACGCCTCCTGTCCTATGGCCACCCCTCCTTTTGGCTGTGCCCTGACTCTCCCCCTTAGTTCTTCCACAGGATGCACTGGGGATTCCTTCCTTTCGGCAGTTGTAGTTCTTTGTCACAGGGGCCAGCCGTTCTGATCCTGCATGGCCAGCACTCGTTGCCTTCGTCGCAAGTTGTTATGTTGTTCCTCCCACTCCCTTAATGCCTGATAAGCAGGCAGTAGGTCTATGTAGCGATTGATCGAGTGTCTGTCGGATAGCCAGGCCTCCTTAAGTAGTTGACCGCCCTTGGTGGTATCTTGGGCAATGGTCTCTGCCTCCGCAAGGTTGAACGTGTGGTTGCAGCTGTCCATATGTGCCCATATTTGTGAACGTTGTTCCTGCCGTCTGATGGCCAGCTCATGCTTGTGAATCCTGGTCCTGAGCCGTTTGGTCATCTCACCAACATAGTTGCAGTGGCAATTCTTGCATTTTATTCTATATACCACTGAGGATCTTTCTTCGTTGGGGAGAGGCTCTTTGGGGAGTCTCTCTGGGGAGCCAGGGCACGGGGGGGGGAGCCAGGGCACAGCCAAAAGGAGGGGTGGCTATAGGACAGGAGACGTTAGAAAACCAACCCACAGCAACAGGCACTCGGACACGAACCAGGCAGACGAGAGCAACCATAAGGGAGGAAATGACCCCTGACTTTAAGATCACACGGACTGATGCAGGACAGCTAGAAACAATACGGCCAATTGGGGCGGGCAGACCGGTAAGTTGCTCCATGAGCAGAGCGCCAAAAAAAGGCCGACTTATAAGCAAGCTCCCCAAACAGTGGCATTTTACTCTGACGACGTTGGCAGTTAGCCAATGAAAGCTAAGTGTATTAAAACAGTTTTGTTTGTATTTTATCCTGGTGTTCAATTATCTTCTTGAATATGAGTATACCCGGGATTCATATTTTAGCGTAATTAAGAATACATACCTACATACATGTGTGTGTGTGTGTGTGTGTGTGTATGTATATATATATATATATATAAAATACACACACACACACATATATATTATAAGTACTGTATATATATATGTATATATGACAAATTGGTCATAATGTTCTTTTTTCTCAAATACTTTTGAACACATCACTAGGAATTTTTGCACGTAACAAAGTTAATAATCCTCAGCTTTAAAACATATTATCACAGATGCATTACAGGTATTCCTCAACTTACAACAGTTTGTTTAATGGCTATTCAAAAGTTACACAGCAAAAAGGTGGTTAAAATTTAGCACAACTCACTTAATGACTGCATCATTTTGCAACTGAAGTTTCGGTCCCAATTGTAATCGTAAGTTGAGAACTATCTATATAACATCAGTAACAATCACATGCGCACAGCTACATGCCATAAAGTATAATTCCAGCAAGATAGTTCTGTCTGGGATGCATCACTAGCAACAAAAGCAGAGCCAAATCTGTAGCATCTTACATTAACTGCTTTATGACTATTGGTGTCTGGGAGATACATGACACTAAGTGTAATGTGCCATTGTATTGCAACAATGATTTATGGCTTAAGATTACCCATGAAGCAAGTCACTATGTCCATGCCACAAATCACTGTTAAAATAAATTATGACTTAATAAACTGAACCATGCCAAAAGTCATTTTATGTAGTATCATCTACATCACGGGTTCCCAACCGGGGGGGGGGTACAAGACTATATTCCAGGGGATGTGAAAACTTGGGTTTTCAAAATTATAGTGTATATGCATAATTCGTTGCCGTTATTTCAAAATTTTGTAAGGGGTGTGAGAACATATCAGAAGTGTTCTAGGGGTGCCGGGTATAGAATAGGTTGATCTACATATTAGTATGCAATCCATGAACAGGCAGTAATAGTGAAAGAATATAAAATACAGATTATTTAAGTGATACATAAATGCAGCAATTCTATTTAAACATACATAAGTAAATGCTGTCTTGCAGCAATACTTTTTTTAATGTAACACTTATAAGCAAGAAAACATGCAACAGAAATTACAATTAAACTTCATAATGAATCATAATTTCACACTGAAATTTCCTTCTAAGTTATTTCATAACTGTAACTATAAATTACAGCAATTTTTCATACCCTAAAAATGATACTTTAAGCCCCAAATAGAACGATCCCTTTGAATTATACCATACAGAACTATTTTTCAAAACCTAGTTTGCATTGTATGCTAGTGCTTCCCAACCTTCTGATTTCATGGATTTTTGAGGAGTATCCTATTTATTATTTTTAAAAATACTGCTTCCTGTACAATTGCATCTCATCTCAAAGCATCTTATAATACAATTATTAAAACAATACACACAAAATAAAATATATTCATTAAAAAGTGTGATGAAAAGAAAAACAAATAAAATCAGAAACCATTAATTTAACATTTATGCAGGGAAAAACTGGACAAAGAGGTTTGTCTCTAACAACCACTGGAAAGATGTAGTAACACAAGGATGTATAAATCAGTTTATGCTCAAACTGTTTTACATGCAGAACAGTTACTTTGAGGTGGTTCATATACAAACCAAGACATGCATGTTTTGGATATTTTATTCACATATCATTGATACATGGGTTTTTTTTTCAGATACAGACTAAAAGAAGGTTGTTCTGCATACCCAGATTCTTGCAGCCCCAAAAAGCTTGTTATGAATTTCATTTTTTAGCCATCTGAAACTATTAAAGAATTCATTTCTGCCAAAATACAGAAGTCAAAATATTTCAGATTTTCTTCTACTAAACTGGAGCCAGTCCAAAAGGGATCAACAGAATTTCTTGGATGCAATTTTTGAGATGGAAACAGGAACACTTTTCATTTCATAAAATTCCCCTACAATAGGGAGGGTGGGAATCCATTCCAATAGAAATACCACCCCAGAAAAGGCATGCCCGTGTGTTACTGAAAAATAGCACTCAGCCACTTTTGGCAAACACACCAGGAGCAAATCATATGCTAAGCAGGGCTTCGTCCTTATCTGCAATAAAGATGCTAAGCTTAAGCTAGCTAAGCTACCTACGTTTGACAGTTTTCAACCAAAACAAGGTAAAGTATGAAGTATCAGGAGAACTATGGTCTTCCGCTGTGCTACATTGGAAAGCTCTGTTACAAAGTAAAGCATCTCAGTCAAATGGCCATCTAGCCTCCTCTTGAATACCACCCAGTGAAAGAGAGCTCACCATTCTCTAGCTATTTGGAGCCACCATGGAACTGCTCTTTCTATTAGGAAGACTTTTCTAACATGTAATTGGAATTTCCCTTGTCGTCATTTAATCCAGTACTCTGTGTCCTACACTCTAAAATGAGACACTACAGATACTGGTCTTCTAAAATCTAAGTGACATTCTTTTAGGTGTTTGAAGAGTGGTATCATGAGTTCCTTCTGTCAGCCTTTCTCAGGCTAAACTATCATACTCTACCAAGGCAGGCCCAAATTCAGTATGACTAAAATAATTCAGGCCATTACAACAGTTGTCATTCTGTGAGCCAATAAGTCCAATTCCTGAACTGTGCTGCAAAGAAATTATTTTAATACGGTACCTCCAACTGGTCCAGAGAATACTACAATTGCTGAAAAATCAAGCTGTACTAGCAGTTTTATCCTCTCCGTCTGTTGCATGGCATCATCAATCTAGATAACCATAGCTGATCCTTTCCAAAACCAAGTGTGAACCAGGTTGGAAATGGCTGAAACAATCAAGGATCTGCAGCTTAATTTTTGAGTATTTGGATAGTAATCTATATAATATTGATCCAGACCAGACTTTTTCAGAGACTGGAGGATCACTGTTTTCTTTAAGGGTAGTTGCATCACATCGTATTCACTATTCCTAGAGCCACCCAATCTCTTTAGCTTGTTCATTTGTCAGGATAGTCAAGGATCAAGATAGTATGCAAATATTTGGGCAACGATGAACTCTGATCTATGTCCTTGAGTCTCAAAAATTAAAAGTGAACCCAGACAATTGTGGTGCAGTAATAGTCTTAGTAGGTACTGTGTCAAAAACACAGCATGAAGTAAACAATTTTATCCTCAAGCGCCTTATAAATCTGTTACAGGATGTGTCTTCTTTTCATCCAAAAGAATCCAAAATTATAAGCATGGATCTATAGTAAATATTTTTGGCTATGAGCTTGCCAAATACCACATAATTTTCTTTCTCACTTGTAAACTCACAAAACTTTGCTGTTCTTGTTCAAAATTTCCCATTTTTTTTCAAGTAGAAAGAGGAAAAAATGTGAAAACTGTTGATCTTCTGAGATTTTAGAAATTTAAAACTAACCATTTCTTAACTGAATGCACACAACTAGTCTTTATTTATTTGCATCTATGCTTCTTCTACTGCATTTCCAACTACTTCAGAAAACAACAAATCATAATATATAGAAATTAAAGACTTACTCATGCACTCTGTTATCACCATACAAGTCACTTAGTCCAAAGCTTACATAATGCCAGTGCTCAGGAACATTTTGAGTTGGACTTCCCAAATTCCTGTACATACTAACATAGTCCAGAGGATCCGGTCCACCTAACCTATTTTAAAAAAGAAAGAAAGAGAAATGAGATTGTTTAATCCAGTTTTGGGAAATAGTTTCAAGTAAATGGGTTTACCTCTACTCCACATTATTACACCATTTCCTTCTGAAAACAGTTAATGCTTCTTTTTGAAGCTAAGTCAGAATTTGCCCAATATCATCATAACTACATAGTTATAGATCTTAAAAGTTCTGTATTGCCTGACTTTCTTTCTTTTCCTGTTTCAATACTGAACAAATTATAGGACTGCAAAGATGTTAGTGTACTGCAAAAGTCAAATAAACATAATTAAAATGAATATTTTCATCTGAGAGCATCAGAATTGTCCACAAACATTATTGATATGTCTATTTTCCCCCCTCTATAATACTATCCCATAAGCATCCTACATATATTCTAAAATATAATGTGCCTTTGTGGAGTATTTATCTAAAAATGATTCAGGCACTGGCTAGATTCACATATTATATCAGCCATGATTTATTTATAGTTTGCTGATAAGTCAGAATTAATTGGTTGCATGCACCATGCTAAGCCTAAGAAAAACAAATCAAAGTACAATTTGAGAATACAATATGAGTGTGGACCTAGTTAATAGTTAAATTCAGTTTATTTAGATTCAGAATTACATACCATATTTATCTTTCTACTATTAAGGAAAACTGTAAAGTATTTATTAGGATCATATCTTATTAATAAAACTAGCCAAACAGCAATAACCTTTTAATCATTGCAAACCAATAAGAAAAAAACTGAAGTAGCATATTTTGCTTTTGTGAAACGTATCATAGTAATCACCATCTTTATCAGAATTAGTGATATATGCCATTTGTTACCCAAAACTGGTGGATAACATTTCTTTTTCCAAATTAGAAATAAAGTGGATCTCGGTTCATTTCATACATGTATGGCATGAAGTTCCAAGAGATGGATATTTTATACAAAAAAACTGCAAGAACAATTTCTATACTAGAATTAATATAGCCTAGTTTTCAACAAGATGATGTTCGAAGAGAAATACAATAAACAATGAGATAATCACAGGACAAGCCTGATCAGAGCCTAAGTAGTTTCCATTTTTGTATGGAAAAAAAATTAAGAGCAAAGTTAAAACAAACACTTACAGAAAGACCTAATAGTTTTTCAGATAGAAAAAGTAAGAGAAGAGGATAAGATTGAATAAAATCTCTATTTAGACATCTTAAAAATCACAATTGGAATGTATAGAGTTTTTAAAAAGTAAAAAAGAAAGTCTCTTTTGGGACAGACTGGATTTCATAGTTTCCATGGTCCTGCAATTTTATTTATTTTTTGGTAAAGTCAAAAGTGATTCATAATCAGATTACCATGCGTTTAGCTTCTGAATGCAGACAATGTCACCTAGATCAGTGGTTCTCAACCTTTTTAATGCCGCGACCCCAACCGGTCGTAAGTCGAGGACTAAACCGGTCGTAAGTCGAGGACTTTCCCTGCCCGGGAGCGCCGCACATGCGTGGTTCTGCCCCCTGCGCCGGCCGAGGCGTAGCTGGCAAGCGGCAGAGACGGAGCAGGCCGACCACCAGCTGGCCCAGCCCAAGGGAGGTAAGGCACCCGCCGGAAAAGGGGAAAAAAATGGTGGACAAAAAAATGGCGGACAGCCTTGCTTGGCGACCCCCGTGAAATGGTCGATCAACCCCAAATGGGGTCCCGACCCATAGGTTGAGAACCACTGACCTAGATGGTGCCACCAGGTGAGGCTTGTAGAAGTGAAACATTTTTTATTCAGATCTAAATAAAGTTTTGAACAGCTTGACCACCAGATGTCAGTCTTAGGAAGGTGCTCTTCCCAAGCTACAGATATCCCTATCAACAGGAAAGCTAATTTAGTAATTTTACATAAGCATAAAGAAAGCAAAATACCACTTTCAAGAGAAGAACAGGGTGGTTTTAAATAGGCTTATGCCTGAAAAATAGATAGTTCCCAACTCTTACCATAAAAAGTTGCTTGCATTATAAAGTTTCCGTATCATTTTGTAGGAATCAAAATCCTTCACTTAGTGCCAATTTGCACAAACTAGTCATACCACTGCATTCAATTCTATAATCAATATGAGTATATATTCTTATTAACAAAGAAATATAAGTTTACATCATATTATTTTTCTTTATTCCAACTCAGTTTCTTCTTTTTTTCCCTTTCTTCTCTTCTCTTCCTTCTTAGACCAGCTCTATCCAGAGATCAATTCCCACTGTAAACTGCAGAACCAACAAACCTTACTATTTGCTCATATTACATCAGGTAATGAATGAAATCTTCTACAATGAAATGAAGCCATATTTGTATTCTAAGAATATTTTCAGAGTGGACAAATAAAATTTTAATCTTATGCTGTTAATCTGGTAAACCCTGAAAACATTGCTTTTTAAACGGGCTTTTGATTTGAACTGACAATGACGAGGTAAACATTTTAAAGTGAAATGATGCAGTTTCAAAGTGTTTTTCATTTATGGATTGGTTATGTTTTTATTGTTGACTGATTGGTACAATATGTTAATTGACTTGTACAATTAACAATCTTAAATGTTCTTCAGTAATCAAGACAAGTAAAAGGCAGATTATCAGGTCCTTTCTCTGATATTGTCTTCAACTTATAATAGTAATTGAGCCCACAATTTTGGTCTTAAATCATGATGGTTTTTAGGCTGGTCATCATGTTACTGTGCCCAATTTTACAACCTTTTTTGTGACATCATTAAGCAAATGTGGCAGTCATTAAGCAAGCGCTGTGGAAATATTGTTCTCAATTGGACATTTTTTAAATCAGAAACTGGAGGTAAATACTAGTTTCTGGGGAAAAAAACCCACTATACATTGCAATCACATGACTATGGCTTTAAATGTGGGCTGGTTGCTGAGCACCCAAAATACAGTCATGTGACTACAGGAGGAGGGGGATGTCAGAACCTTGAATCCTGGTCTTAAGTCCCTTTTTGGGGGTCCACCGTAATTTCAAACAGTCACTAAGCAACCAGTCATAAGTCCAAGGCTACTTGTACTGGCACAGAAGTATTCTTATTTTTTCCATGATCCCAACCATTCACAACCTTGGTATGAAATAGCAGCAATATTTGAATTCAAAACTGTTACAAGTTGAAGCAAACTCATCTAACTTTCTCAACTTCAGTTTTCTTCACTGTTTATCGATAGCACTATTTCAATCCAGAAATGTGACTACAGTTCTCTCTTTCAACCTATTTCTTTCACAACAATCATGGTATATGCAGAACATTGGCCATGTCTGTGAAGAAGAACTACGGTAATCTAATTTGACCTAAACCATCAATAGGTGACTTAGGTGACCATCCACTACTAGATAATTTATGAAATCAGTGACTGCCTGGTTATATTGGGAACTGCCAAGCCAGGCAGCATTCCTACAGCTTGTAGTAGCAGGCAGGCTGCCACTTTCAGAGTACTTTATTGGGAGAGGCAATAACATTTTGATTATATTTTTTTAAAAAATGGGACGATATGACTGAGAATGAAACCACTGTTAATGAAAAGAGGAGATGTTCATGTATGGACACAACTGCTGCCTGACTACATCAGCAAAACTAGTAATCCAGCCTGAAAACATAAGAGTTCCACAATATCAGAAATTATCCATTTGGGAAAGAGTACTCAATGCTGAAAGATAAGCAAAGTAACATAAACACTGGGCTCACACAATACTTTTTTCCCCTTAAAGCTATATATTGTGGAGCTAAAGTGTAACATTAGATGGACACACTAAGACTCAGACATATTGATTTAAGCCAAAAGGAAAAATATGTGTGAATTTCTTTGCATATGATAAGAAATGGAAGCAGTGTGGAAGACAGTTACACACAAGGAAAAGGATCAATCCACTCACTTACTGCTAGCAATAATATGCAAAAGCCAACTTTTAAAGATAATGAATATAAAGGACAGTCTGAAAAAGCATGCATTCATTTATGAAAATTGAAGAACCTTATCAATATCGCCCTTACTTTAAAAAAAAAAAAGGTCTTCAGGCTTCCAATGGTTTGTTATATTTATTCAGAGTAACTACGGCAAAATTTAAGAACAATTCCTCTTTCAATCTATCTTGCATGCAAGATTCAGTGTAACAAATTTTTAAATCCTTTATAAATGCAAGCTGTTTCTCTGAACATTCCCATATTCTTCATACACAGACAGGAATCAGATCACCAACCCATAAATAATTACAATTTATAAACTGGTAAATCACTCTTCCAAATTCGGAGTCATTTTTAAAATCTGGGTTTCAACCACCCAGGATTTAGATTTTGAGTACAGGCCAGGATCCCGTGTCATTTCATTGTTTTGGACTGCAACTCCCAAACCGCTGGCACAACATTTTGGGCATAATGTTCTAATAAGGTATCCTCTGTCCCAATAACTTTTCCTTCTCTCCCCCAAATCAACCATCTCCGATGCAAGTACTACAAGCCGTCCCAAACTTAAGTCCTTCTACCACTCTTAGCCACTCCCAGTTTCCGACAGATCCTCCTTCACAACAGACACGCGCGCACACACATTTATCACCTTTCCAACCGCGGCGAACCACATTCAAGGAGGCAGACCCCTCGCCCTTTGTCGCCCACCGGTCCCCTCGCCCAGGCCCAGACTCGCTCAGGAGCTCCCGAGGCCTCTTCCTAAATGCCATTACCGCTCCCCCAACCCACCCGCGGAACAAGCCTTCAGATCGGAACCAGCTCCTTCTCCTCTCGTCCCACTCACCAGTATTTGAGAATCGCCGTGACCTGCAGGGGGTTGGGCTGCTCTGGATACAGTTGCCGGCACTCGCCGTAGATGCCGTGTAGCCCCGGGGGGAAAAGCGAGGGAAACGGTCCCGACCCGGGGCCGGGAGGAACAGGGGCGACGGTCTCCATAAGGGAACCCGTAAAGAACGGAGGGAAGCAATGTAGCTCGAGGCGGGTGGGGGACAATCCAGACCCCCGCAGACAAATCACAGCTCGCTCCAAACTCCTTTCGCGACCCCGGCAGGGCCCAGCAGCAGGAGCAGGGAAAAGCGTCCCCCCACTCACCCCGACTCCGGTCTTGATAGGCCACCGGCTTCGCCAATCACACCGTAGTGAAAGACGAGGCTGACATAATCCCACCTTCGCCTCCACCCGGTGTCCCACCCCTTCTTCGCCGGCGCATTTCTGACCTCTGGCGTCGCTTAGCTTGCATTGCTGACGCTTTCTTGCCCGCAGTGGGCAAGAGAGAATGATGTCGCGCGGCAAGCCATCATTGATTTGCTGGCTTGCGGTTTATCGCGATGTGTGTATCCCGGGAACTCTGCTTCGTTTATCAAATCCTAGTTTAAAAGATCGTAGCGTATGAACCCATCCTAGGGGCAAAGAGTTTGATCTCTAACGAATCGTCCACTATTGCATTATAGAAACAGGACGTTATATGGCATGTGCTGTGCAGCTCCCCGATAGGGCGACTTGGGGAGATTATAGAACGTAAAAGGATAAATAGAAAAGCAATTAAAATTTTAAATCTGTGCACATTAAAAAATGTAAAACTATGAAAAAAACAGAACCAAAGACATGGACAGCACTGGGATGAGGTCTTTTTTTCCCGGTCAACCACATCCACCTCTTCAAGCGGTGTGATTCATAAATAATATATGTAAATATACATGTAATATTTATAAATGTTTATGTTTGTGGCTTAGCATGTTATAGCAAATAAAAGCACTGCGACTTGGTAACCATTACATTGTTTAAAATGTGGTGAAAATATAATTACGGTTTATTTACTGAAGTATTAATGGACTGGTGTGATATATACAGTATTGGATTTTAATTCCTACTATCACTGATACAGAATTGTGAGGATTACAGTCCTAACATACCTAGAGGGCAATAAGTTGGGAAATACATTCTAATACTACCAGTACCTTAGGCTGGGTTTATCTTAAAAATTGCTTGCTGTTAGGCAGTCCTAGTGTTACCAATCAACATGTATTGTGCAATTTTCTGACTGCAACTCTTTAATAGATGTTGTATATATATGAGATTTTTAAAAGGATGGTTCATTTTATATTCTTATCTCAGAATCAGAATAGAGCTGGAAGGGACCTTGGAGGTCTTCTAGTCTAACCCTCTGCTCAAGTAGGAGCCCTATACCATTTCAGACAGGTGACTGTCCAGTCTTTTCTTAAAAACCTGCAGTGATGAAGCACCCACAACTTCTGAAGGTAAACTGCTCCATTGGTTGTCCTCATTGTTAGGAAGTGTCTCCTTCAAGCTTATCTCCTTGATTAGTTTCCATCCATTGTTTCTTGTTTTACCTTCTGGTGCTTTGGAAAATAAAATGTCCCCCTCTTCTTTGTGCCAGCCCCTCAAATACTGGAATACTGCTGAACCCTATCTTTCTTTTCTCTAGACCAGTGGTGGCGAACCTATGGCACGGGTGCCAGAGGCGGCACTCAGAGCCCTCTCTGGGCACGCGCACCGTCGCCCCAGTCCTAGGCCTTCAGCTGGTTTTTATAAAACCTTTTCGCTTTAGGCCTCCGCCCAATCAATCAGTCAATTTCAACTTCTCACAGAAAAAAAGATCTTGCAAAGTTGGAATTGATTGATTGAACTTTTTAGTCCCACCCAGTCTGTTGTTACGACCGCAGCCACGCCCACCCAATGGGCCACACCTACCCAATGGGCCACACCCACCCGGCGATGCATAAGTGGGTTTTGGGTTGCAGTTTGGGCACTCGGTCTCTAAAAGATTCGCCATCACTGCTCTAGACTGTCCATACCCAATTCCTGCCATCATTCTTCATAAGTATTTGTCTCCAGGCCCTTAATCATCTTAGTTGCTCTTCTTTGCACTTTTTCCAAAATCTCAACAAATTTTTGTAATATTGTGACAAAAACTGGATGCAGTATTCCAGGTATGGTCATACTAAGGACTTAGTATGACGTGATTTTGATTCTATGCCTCTGTTTATACAACCAAGGATTGTATTAGCTTTTTTGTCTGCTGCCGCACACTACTGGCTGATGTTTAAGTGATCGTTTACTAGGACTCCAAGGTCCCTATCAGTTACTATTTTTGAGCCAGATTTCATTTAATCTGTACTTGTATCTTTGGTTTTTCCTGCCTAGGTGTAAAACCTTGCTTTTCTCCACATTAAACTTCATGTTGGATAGGGCCCGTTGTTGTTCAAGTCTGTCAAGATCTTTTTGAATCCTGACCTTGTCTTCTGGAGTTTTGGCTATTCCTGCCAGCTTACTGCCATCTGCAAATTTGATGAGTTCCCCTTCTATACCCTCATCTAAGTCATTTATGAAGATATTGAAGAGTACTGGGCCTAAGACGGAACCTTGTGGTACCCCACTGTGTCCCTTCCCTACACAGAGCATTCTGAAGACATGGGGTACAGGTTTGAACTCAATAAGCTTAATAGTATATTAATATTGAGTTTCCTGAAAATATTTTTCTTTGTAAAAATACGCATAATCTTTTAAAGAAATTAACTGTAAGAAAATGTTAATTTTTTTAACATATCTAAATGTAAACTTTTCACCATCTACCTCACTATTATCACTTGAACTTCTAAGTCATTTATGAAAAAGTCAAAGAGCACTGGTACTAATACTAATACAAACTCACATTTGTTCACATCACTGCAGATGGCTTATACAAATGGACCATATAAAAGTTTCCGTACAATGGATTTACAGCATAATTCTTTCTATGAACTGGAAAAATCATATTCAAAAGATATTAGTAGGTACATCCTCTGAACTTCTGTCTTGAAGACCTTCTATTTTTTCTCACCTTTCCCCATATCAAAAGTGAAAGCAGCACATCCCCCAAAATCTGTGAAGTCTACAACAGTGCCTTTACTTGCATAAAAGGGAAAAAGCAGGAATCAAAATAAAGAGATAACAGCTGTATTTGCATTAGAATTTATATTAACAGGACTACTGAACTGCAACATACAGTACATTAGGCCTATCATAAATATTTTTGTGTAGTCACTAGATGGCTGTAAAATGGCTAGAATTTTCTGCATTGCTTTATGACTAAATATGAGAACCCTAATATATTGTATACAGTATATCTGCATCAACACATACAGCATTCAATATGTGTGTTACGGAGGTTTTTTAAAGTTGTACGCAGTATGTCGGTATCAAAAATCTTAGATTTCTTCATTGATTATAAATACCTCTCATTCCTCTCCAGGGCAAAAATAGTTTTGCAAATCGGTACTCCACGATAACTTACTAGGACAAATAAATAGTATTATTCATTCATTCACCCATTCATGAAAAAAAAATTCCTGTTTCCTGGCGTAAACTCCAGAGACGGTAGTTATTTCCATAGAAACTCGCTTTCCCGGCAAGCTTTGCCTTTGCTCTGAGCATGCGCTCTGCTCCCTGAGCTGTCGCTTGCTTGGCAGTAACCGAGGTGGGTGTCGCCGGCGGCGCATAGGCGCTCGCCATGGAGTCCTACGATGTGATCGCGAATCAGCCGGTGGTGATTGACAACGTGAGTCCGAGCGTGATTGTGTCTGCTCTGTGAGAAGGGGGGAGGGGGGGGCGCTGCGATTGGCACGGAGGTTTTTTTTGCTCCTCATAGAAACCAGTGAGCGGATCTGTTAGCCGGTGATTTTCTGCTCTCCCTCCCCCCCCCGCCCCGTCTCCGGGCAGTCTTCTGTCCCTCGCCATTTCCAACCGAAGTTGGGCTCTTTTCTCCGTCTCGATGACCCAGGCCCAAGTTCTCGTTGGTCGATGCCTTTGCCATTCAATGGTAGAACGGCGCAGCCTGAAGAACAACGGAGCAGGTAATTCACGCCCTGTTGAGCTCCTCGCTCTCTGATTGGCCCCCTTTGCTCATTCTCGTTGAGCGTCATCGATTCGCGTTTCGCGATGTAGATTTGCTCCTCCTCCTTTTCGGAGTTCATGCGCGATTATTGGCGCGTTGGCAACAGTATTCGTTCTTTTTGACCTTTAAGGTGCTGTTTGGTTCTGACCGGCTGGTCCTGTCAAAGTGTGCGAGAGAATGGCTTAGGACTCAGTGTTTCTCAACCTTGACAATTTTAAGGCATGTGGACTTCAACTCCCAGAATTCCACAGCCAGCAATGCTGGCTGTGGAATTCTGGGAGTTGAAGTCCACATGCCTTAAAATTGTCAAGGTTGAGAAACACTGGCTTAGGTAGTTGGGCCCCGAACATTGCCTAGCTCTCCTCCATTTTCCCCATGTGTATTTTTGCTGCTGCGTATAATTGCCCGCGCTGCTCTTTTTGTAAAACAGGGCTTGCAGGAGGAGTGCAGTGAGGAAACGTTTCCTAGATCCCGCCCAGCCTTCTTTTCTGTCGTTTTTCAGATTTCTTTGTGACCCAGAAAACGACAATGCTGCATTAAGAATCAGCTCATTAGTTAATATGATTGTTAAATGTTGCATTTTTTTCCAAGCTGATGCAAAAGCCTGAGAAATGACGAGTCAATAAAGGGAAATATTGGTAGCTAGTCTAGACTACCACTGATGATGTTACCTAGTTTGGGTAATGAAATGTCTGCAAGAAAACAACCAAGCTCAGAGAGCGCCAAGGACCCCTCAAATGAAGGATTAGTTTAGTAAATACTAGCAAACAAGTGCTGTGCTTGTGGAGGATCCAAAGTGTTTCTCCTGAATATTTTTTTAAATATACACTACTGTGATGCATACATCTTTGAATCCTGGAAGATGGGTTTTAGTAATTGGTAATTAATATTCATCATAGTAAATCTGATGAATCAGATTTCCATGTTATGTTCAAAAATTCTTTCTGGAACTCACTGCCCAACTTTTGTTTCTTGGTACAATTCAAAATAGTGATTTTTACCTATAAATCTCCACATGGTTTACAACCAAGTCATAGAAAAAATTGCTGCCTTCTAGAAGAACATGCCTGTAGTTTTGTTATATGATGTGATTCAGGGATTCTTCTGTGTGCTAATTAGGTAGAAAGAGGCTAGGTAGTTGGGAATATGGAACAGAGCTTTTTCTGTGATGAGGTGGATTTCTTCCCTGTAAAAGTTCATCTGTTTCCACCTTTCTTTAGTTTCAGGAAGATTGTTAGAATCCTTTTGTTCTGCACCTAACACCATTGCCATTTGTTAGATAGTCACAAGGCCTCTGTTGCTGGATAATTCAACAGTTTTAATACTAAGCAAAAATAGATGGGCCTTTTTTGAGCCAGTCACACTTGAGGGAAGATTTCATGGGATCCCTTATTCACATTATTGTCCTTGTGATTCTAGAAGGGTAGAAAATCACCCACATTCTCATACAATGCAATGCCCCTTCTTCAAAACCCCAAAACATGCTTTGATTGCACCAATCATTTCCAAATATGAGGGCCATGCAAGTAAACTTTATTACTCTTTAAGGGACAGTAACCCTACATTTACAAATAAGGCCACCAATTTTTTTTTACCAAGTTCACACAACTGTGCAAAAATGTTTAATTAGATATGCTGTTTTATTCTCCCACTATTTCCCCCCCTTCCCTAACAACTGTTGTGTTAAAGCTTCCTTTTACTGTATTTTTAATTGTAAAAGCTTAATAAAGATATTTGATTTTGTTGTGCACAGCCGTTAGAACTGTATTTTAAAGACTTGTTTGCACAACATGGTAGGTTATTTTTTATTATTCAAGGTTTGCTATAAATTAACTCATCATAGGCAATTTAAAAAAAATAAAAATTTAAAAAATGTTAGAAGAAGGTAATTGCAAATAATTTATCTATTATTGCTTACAAAGGGTATACGAACATGTGCATAAATTCACCAGGAGTCAAGTTTGACTCACCTGAGATTTTATTACTTGCAAAGCTACATTCACATAGCATGCTTATCCACAGTTAAATTAAACATTATTTATGCACTAAACTAAAGTTTTAACATGTTCTGCAAATATTGCCACTGAGTCCCAAATTAGCCAACACGATTTCAACCTTGCAAGTTTGTTGTCTGAACCGAGCTGTGTCTGGCATATTACTTTTTTAAATTCCTAAAGATATATACAGAGGGGAGGATGCTTCAGTGTTCTGTAAGTTATTAGGGTGATGTGATTTAGTGCTGTTCACTGGATCTTTCTTGTTTTTTGTACTTCTCTTGAGGAAAAGATCTTCTGTCTTACTATCTAGTTCTAAAACCTTTTGTCCCACACAAAGGAATTCTTCTTGGGTGGTCTGAGGCTTCCTAAGTATGGTAACGGGATGTGCTCCATCTAGTGGTCACATAAATTCAATAACAAGTCATACAGTTTTAATAATGGAATTTATTGGGCGAAGTTTTCATTGAAGGGGCTCAACAAGGCCACTGGTGCTAAATTTGGACAGTTATTTTTTTTTTATGTTGATAGGCATAGATTTGGAGCCAAGATACTCATGAATAATTATTTCATTTCATTTGATGATCTTTGTTTTTTATCCCAACAGGGTTCTGGCATGATTAAAGCTGGCTTTGCAGGTGATCAAATACCTAAGTACTGTTTTCCAAATTAGTAAGTATCCTCATAATTTTAGCTGGTGTTCTATAATTTCCTACTATGAACATTTTCTGCATTGAGTAGACTGAGACTTTTAACCTATGCTGGCTCTGGCAATTGAACACACTATGCATTAGGCCAGGGGTGTCAAACTCGCCACGTCATGTGACATGTTACAACATATCACAACTTTTTCCCCTTCCTGGAGCTGGGTTGGGCGTGGCTATTCCATGGCCTGTAGCAGGGGTGTCAAACTGCCGGCCCACGGGCCGGTTTCATCATACCGGAGCTGCGCCCACCCCATTGCCTGCAATGGCGAAAAAGCTCCGATACGTCGCGTGGCGTCATGTGATGTCGTGAGTTTGACATGCCTGGCCTATAGGATGCAGAATCCCTTAATACTGAGGGCTTGGGGGGGGGCTCAGAAATAGATTTGGAATTTTAAGGATATTTACTTTAGCTTATTATAAGAAACAAAACAAATTAGTTTTTTCATTAATCCTATGTTGGATTTCAGAGATATTTGATATTGGTTGTGTAGTATGAACTATTGACTCTCATTTGTAGATCATGATTTATGAATTAATGTGAGGTGTGCATTATGCTTATTCAATAACCATGGTTAAAATAAATCATCCTATGATATTAAACTCAACCACTCAGTTCAGGTTGCAGCACCTTAATCTAATGATTCTGGAATGGTCTCTCATAAGTAAATTTTTGAACTCATGGATCCATTTTTTCTTTTTGCGATACTTATTTCAGTGTTGGCAGACCAAAGCATGTCCGAGTTATGGCTGGAGCTTTGGAAGGTGACATTTTCATTGGCCCAAAAGCAGAGGTAAGATCACTATGTTGATTTGACTGAAACTGTATTTTTTTTTTTTTAGGGTCACCAGAAACTAAGAAACAGCCTATGCTTTTTATCTAAACAGAGTCCGATATTTATAGTTCATATGTTCATCCTGATAAACAGATGGGGTTCCAGCCATTTGCTTAGGTTTAAATTAGAGGTTTCCTGAACGAACTCAAATGGATTAAAGTAACAAACATATGTCTTATCTATACATAAGAAAAGATATGCATTATGGATGCGTACATATCTACACAGTTGCTGTTATAAAATAAAGGTTTGTTGCATGATGAATATATTTCTTCAGTTATGTTACAAGTGTGATTTCCATTGTAAATTTAGTAGTTATTTGTGGGAATCTTTTTATCAGCAAGTCAATGTATGTTTATATATCTCCTCTGACTGATTGGTTGTCTTGTCTCTTTAATTTTATTAAGGAACATAGAGGTCTTCTTTCTATACGGTACCCAATGGAACATGGAATAGTGAAGGACTGGAATGATATGGAGCGCATTTGGCAGTATGTGTATTCAAAAGATCAACTCCAGACATTCTCTGAAGAAGTGAGCTACCTTTCTTTCTCTAAGTCCCGGAGCACCAAATAAGAGAAAAACCTGTATCTGCTTTTTAATCTCAATGCCAACTCTGTTAGCATTTTTTATTCTGTTCTTCCATGTCTAGAAAATTATGCAGGCGTATAAGTTTCTATGAGTGAAGCTTCTGCTGTTAGCTTATTTCTGAATGTAGGAATGAATTTCAGGAAGAGTAAGGATGTATAGTCATATCTGACCTGAAGTCTTATACACATAGTGCCAAGCAGTAATGTGGTTTGCTTTATTTTGACTTAATGTGAGAATAGGTAATATGTAAGAATATGTACCAATTTATTTTGGCTTAGCCTGATTTGGGTTATTGGCTAGATTCATACAGGGACTAAGCAGTAGTTTATTGAGTATGTCATGGCTGAAAGTGTGCATTGCACTGAGTCAGAACCAAACAACCATAAGATGTTCTGTAGTGGCACAGAGGTTAGAATGTAGTATTGCAGGCTAATTCTGCCAACTGCCAGCAGTTCGATTCTCACCAGCTCAAGGTTCACTCAGCCTTCCATCCTTCCAAGGTCAGTAAAATGAGGAGCAAGATTGTTGGGGGCAATAGGCTGACTCTGTAAAATGCTTAGGGCTGTAAAGCACTATGAGGTGGTATATAAGTCTAAGTACTATTGCTTTCTGATGTGTGACTTCAGCCATTTAACAAAAGTGGATTAACATTTGCTGATTTAACATATGAGGGGATGCAGAGCATGGCCTTTCAACATAGTAATTCCTCTCTCTACTATAACAAGTCATAGAGTCATAGAGTTCTGGCTAGCTGAGTCCCTTGTGTTCCTAATCACTAGCATCCTGTGCTCTTGACGGAAGCACCACTGAATCCTCGTAAGAACCGTGAACGAGCAGCTGAGGTTTTCTTTGAGACTTTCAATGTGCCAGCTCTGTTCATCTCTATGCAAGCTGTGCTTAGCCTGTAAGTATCTTACCTACTCCTTTTTTTAAGCTCAACCTGGAAGAGAAAATAAATTCTGCAATTCATTGTATTACTTTGTATATGGAATGCAAGGAGATTTTCCACATGGATACACAAGTAGATCTTTGTTCATTGCATCTGGATTTTTTCTAAAGATTTCCTCAAAGGTGTCTGCTTTGATAATTAAGAGATTTTAACCCATATTACAAATACAGAAACAGCAGTAAAAATCCACTCTGTTAGTACATATAAAGAGTGGATTTTTACTGCTGCTTCTGTATAAACTCTGGGGATTTTGTTCCAATGCCTCACTTTCACAGTGGATTTAAAATTTTAACTTTCCTCTGCTTTAATTTGATTATAATTTATGTATTATTACATCAGTATTACATCAGTAATACATCAATTATTGTCACCGATTTTCTTTCATAAAGATTGTTGTTTAGTTATTTCTAGGTATATTAGAATAGAATTATGATGGGGGAATTGCTGTCTTGGAAGTGTTACAGATTATCCATCAAATACCGTTGATTTTTTCTTTTCTGTAGTTATGCAACAGGACGAACTACAGGGGTGGTGTTGGACTCTGGGGATGGGGTCACCCATGCAGTACCTATTTATGAAGGTTTTGCAATGCCCCACTCCATTATGCGAATTGACATAGCTGGCCGCGATGTCTCTCGTTTTCTTCGTCTCTATCTCCGGAAGGAAGGCTATGACTTCCATACATCATCTGAATTTGAGATCGTCAAAACCATAAAAGAGGTGCATGGATGCCCTTTGTTTTTGATTCTGGGGTCTCTTCTGTTTTAAGGTACTGAGCAGAGGAGGGTGGATTGAGCAGTTACAGCTGATATATGTCATAGCATTTGCTAATGTCTATCCAGATTACAAGAAAAGATGGGGAAACAAGTCTGTTTAAATTGCATCTATGGTGCAGAACTGCTTTCTTTTGGCTCTTGAAGGCCATCGTCTCTTAATTCTACTTTAATCTCAATCCAAACAGTATGTTCAGAGAAGTTGTATGATTACAGTCTTAACTGTGCTCATTCATATACTAGACACAAGGTTGCAGTTTTTAAAATTAATCCCCTTGACAGAAATCTTTGGTGCTTAGAAAGCTACCACATCTGAAAAATAAACAGAATATTCTTACCCTGGCTTTTTGCATGTATATGGGAGTTTTTTTCTTTTGTTAAAAAGGTAAAACAGGGAAATCTTTCAGACATTTCCATAAATACCACTTTCTAAAATGGTTGTATTCCGTTACATGATCCTTTCAAATTACTGTCTAATCCAATTACAAGAAAAGTTGCAAATTTAAAAACCTACAGCATATCAACAATACTCATCTTTGGGACCAATTTACATTGTATTTTGCATGAAGTCAAGGACTTTATTTGCCACTGGTAGATCAGTAAATTTATGGCTGATATGCAAGATTTCACTGTCTGTTTAACCATTGGGTCAGGAATGCAGAATTTGCTTACTAGAGAAGCAATAGGAACATCTTAGCAAGAAAAATCAAAGTTGGGCAAAGCTGTTTCCCTGGTCTTTTTTGGGAAAGCTACTAGTTATAGTATATCCACGAATCTTGGCCCTTCTGATTATAAACTTTCCTTATGTAGAAGGATTTCTGAGCTCTACAAAAGCCAAGGATAATAAAGTAGATGTGCCTAATTCTTATTAATAGATACTTCAACTTTGGCGTAAAAACTCAGTTTAACTATAACAGTCAATGATTATGTTATAGCATGATACTTGAGAAAGTGAGTGGAAAACAATTACTTCATTCCAATTTCTGTTCCATAATGAAGCTACTAGGTCATTCTAGAAAAACATTACTTCTTAACCTCTGTGTTTAAAACATAGAAACTCTAGTTACTTAATATTTACAAGTTGTCCTTCCCAGGTGGCTCCCAATGTTAAAAAAATTAAAACAATGTAGAACACCACAAAAAGTTGAAATTTCAGATAAAGGAAGAGGGAAAACAATACTTGGAAAATTGCAGAAGCCTTATCTGTCTTAAAATTATAACAAAATGGGTGTCAGATAAGCCTCCCTAAAGAGTGAATTCTACAACTGAAGTAGTACCACTAAAAATATAATTTCTTTAGTCACTTGAGCAACTCACCTTTGATAATAGAGCTAGTTTATCTTACATAATTACTGCAACAATGTACATGAGACACTCAAAATATACCAATATACCATTTTAATGGCATATTCTGAGTGGCTTGTGTACCTTATTATAATCATAATGTATGGGCTTGTTCCAGCTTCTTCAGCTTGATATCTTCCAGTTCTCAGTGACCATCTCCAGGTTGAGAAAAGTGGCTTAACTCATGAACAATGGTCTCTCTTTACATAATCTTTAAACCTCAGCTAATATTTAAAGCTGGGCTACCATCTACTACGTGATCAGCTGGAAAGATCATATAGTGTTTTACTACAGAATTGCTGTTGAGTGTAGTAAGTCAAATAAATACTGTAAAAGCTCTTCTATGACCTTTGTATCATTGTTGAATGAGGCTATTTATGCTGAAAACGCCATCTTATAAATTCATCTGTATTCCCCAAAATAATGTCTTATGCAAAAGCAACATGCTATTGGAAAGCTTTGTTATCACGGATTTTGTTTGTAGAACTACTGGTTCTTAATAAATTTTCTAGAATTTTTCATTTTTAATCACTAAATGGTTAAGAATTTTATGACATTTGGATGGTGAGGCGCCTTGCATTTAGAAATGGGAATAAAAACAGTACTAAAAGGCAAAAAGCTATTGAATGACAGTGCATCTGGAGCATCTGAGTGAGAATTGTCTTACCACAGGCTGCTTGTTTGAATGTTGATGATTATTATCTTTGCTTGTCATTCCTCCACAGCGGGCTTGCTATTTGTCAATAAACCCTCAGAAGGATGAAACTCTAGAAACTGAAAAAGCTCAATATTACCTTCCTGATGGAAGCACCATTGAGGTTTGTTAAAACTTCACATAATTTAAATATTTCTTAAAGAAATTATGGAAAGAGGCCCTGAAGTGATGCCTGCAGGCTCCTTCAGGATTCTAGGATATGAGTGGTCTTGTCTTAAGTTCATTCATCTTTTAATCATCTCTTTGTTTATTTTGAGTTGTCATTCCTTCCTTTTCTCCTTTTTATCTCACTGGATTGGTATGATTGCTACTTCTAGTCTCAGTCATCTGACACAATCTTAGTAAGATTGTATTTACAATAAGAGCTTTTTTTTAGTTTTGTTTACTCAAAACTGCTGTAGAACAAAATGTGAAATCTATCAGTTTTCAAATGTTTTGAATTTCAGTTCTCACCTGACCTGTCAATGAGTCAATGAAAAAGTTGACATATTGTTAAAGTTGTCCAAAACATTTGGATAGCATCAGATTGCTTAAGTCAGCGGTTCTCAACCTATGGGTCGCGACCCCATTTGGGGTCGATCGACCATTTCACGGGGGTCGCCAAGCAAGGCTGTCTGCCATTTTTTTCCCCTTTTCCGGCGGGTGCCTTACCTCCCTTGGGCTGGGCCAGCTGGTGGTCGGCCTGCTCCGTCTCTGCCGCTTGCCAGCTACGCCTCGGCCAGCACAGGGGGCGGAACCACGCATGCGCGGTGCTCCCAGGCAGGGAAAGTCCTCGACTTACGACCGGTTGGGTAGTCCTTGACTTACGACCGGTTTAGTCCTCAACTTACGACCGGTTTAGTTCTCGACTTATGACCGGTTTAGTCCTCGACTTACGACCGGTTGGGGGTCGCGGCATTAAAAAGGTTGAGAACCACTGGCTTAAGTCCTACTTTAGAATCTTAAAAAAGAGTAATTTATAAGCATATCAGTTCATCACCATAGTACTGAAGGGGGGTGTCCTTGTCTCTGCACTTCAAGTTCTGTTCAAGGGTCCTTTTAGATTAGACTAGTGGGATGGGAAGAAAGACTTTGTATGACCATAAGAATATTCATGTGATACAGTTTTTCAGTCTAGGAAATAAGATTTCTTATATACCATCCAGAATGCTGATATTCTTGTTCTCTTTGCAGATTGGTCCTGCCCGATTCAGGGCTCCTGAATTACTGTTCCGTCCAGATCTGATTGGAGAAGAATGTGAGGGATTGCATGAAGTTCTGGTTTTTGCAATTCAAAAGTCTGATATGGACTTAAGGCGAACTCTCTTTTCTAACATTGTGCTCTCTGGAGGCTCAACGCTTTTCAAAGGTTCCTTCTGATGCTTATTTGACTTTATGTGGTTTGAACTTAACTTAAAATAAGTTTAGTCTCCTTATCTTGTTTGATATTGTTGAAAATAATATTAGCTCCTTGGAAGTAAATATTGGCAGCACTCCATATAATTCTTTTCCTGGAAATAGGCAAAAAAATTTCCCAGAAAAATCTTCTTCCAGCCCTGTTGGAGGAACTGAAGGTCAGCAAGCTAGATTCACATATTATTTCTGGGAAAATAGTCATAGCATTTCTTAATATGTCTCTTTTTTTAATATTAATGAAATACAGTTTTTGTGTGCTTAAATGATTTTTCCTATTCTATCATTTATCTGATCTGTATAGTTCAACGGTCCCCAACCTTTCTGCCTCCATGGATTGGCAGCAGCAGTAGCGGCAGCAGCGAGGAAGAAGGGATGGTCTCGTGCGCAAATGAAGCTTTGTGCGCCTGCCCTCCGCTTGCGCAGTCTGGTTGCCAATGGGCCACGGATCAGTACCGATCCACGGCCAGGGGGTTGGGGACCCCTAGTATAGTTTATGTATTAACACACTTCATATATTACTTTATTATAGAGAAAAAAAGATGTAGATGTTGTTTCAGTGATTGGTTGATTCTAGATTTGTTTTCAGGAAACATAGATTACTTTAGAGTATCCTAGGTTGTTAACTCAAATTATTGCTTATATTTAATAGGTTTTGGTGATAGGCTTCTGAGTGAAGTAAAGAAACTGGCCCCTAAAGATGTCAAAATCAGGGTATGTAGAGCTTGTTTGGAGGTTGTAACAGGGGAGCACAACTACTGTATACACTTGCCTGAAGATCAGTACACTCCTATTTGGATGGTTATTCTTTTCCACCAATTGCACAGCTTCGGGAGGGATGCACACGGAGCAGTGAAGGAGGAAGGGGACACCAGCCTGATCAGCAGAATCGACCCTAGTAATCAATAGGGTGACATGTCGTGACTATATAATCCTCACATGAAAGGACTTAAGAACCCTGTCATACTCTGTTTTAACTAGAATCTACTCAGATTTCACCAGAACATGTTCTTTTTTAATGGTAATTTTATTAACAATTATGTTTACAACAATAAAAACTAATACAAACTAAAAAGACAAAATAAAAGAGCAGAAGATACACGAAATAAAGAAAATATAAAAGAAAAAATAAAAATATAGTAAAGAAAAAGAAAAGAAATATATGCAGAAGTGGCTTGCTATCTTCATCATAACAAGTATAAACAATTTTAATAACTTATCACCTTCTCTTAAAATACGTCAAATGATCTCTTCTTCCCATATCCCATTTCTTATCTATAAACAAATCCATAAAAATGTCATTTCAGTCCTGATGTTAGCAAAAGTCTATTAAGGGTTGCCAGATATAACAACATATCTATTTTACCCTTGATCAAATAAACCAATTTTAGGGGACTGGCATCTAAAACATATAGAGAATGGTCGCTGGAATTGGGTATGTCTAGTTTAATGTCTAGGGATGACATGATAGCAGTGTTCCAATATCTCAGGGCTTGCCACAGAGAAGAGGGAGTCAAGCTATTCTCCAAAGGATCTGAAGGCAGAACAGGAAGCAATGGATGAAAACTAACCAAAGAGAGAAGCAACCTAGAACTAAGGAGAAATTTCCTGACAGAACAATTAATCAGTGGAACAACCTGCCTTCAGAAGTTGTGAATGCTCCAACGCTGGAAGTTTTTAAGAAGAGACTGGACAACCATTTGTCTGAAATGGTAAAGGGTTTCCTGCCTGAGCAGGGAGTTGGACTAGATGACCTCCAAGGTCCCTTCCAACTCTAGCATTAGTATTAGTATTATCCTTCTTCTTACTTCCAAGTAAAAGTAGAGTTAATCCCTTCAAGTGTAATAAACCTTTTTCTTTCTTTTAACTTTTTCTTTATCCCTTTTCACAAGATTCTTCAAAACCTTAACAAGCCTTTTTCTCAAACATAGCAATAGCGCTTACAATTACATACCGCTCCATAGTGCTTTACATCATTCTGAGCAGTTTATAAATGTCAGTATATTGCCCCTCCAATTGTGTCCTCATTTTATTGACCTCAGAAGAATGGAAGGCTGAGTCAACCTTGAGCCAGTCAGGATGGAACTCTTAACTGTGGACAGAGTTTGGAAAATTATCCAACTCATTCTCTTGATTTCTTCTTTTAATCCCTTTTAATCATTAAAATGCTAGCCAGTTTCTTTGCATATCCAATGTAACATACTTTTGCATGTCATTCTTGTACTCTGCCATTTTTAAATCCACTTTTAACTGTGTCAATTTTGTCAGGTAGAATTTGTTTCATAACATATTTTAGACACAATCTATCCATAGAGGTAAAATTAACTTTGGATCTATTGTTCAAAAATTATCCTTTATTATGTCCAATATTAAAATATTTTGCTTCATTCTGTATTTATAAGTTAAGTTTGAGTCTTCTCCTTTAATTGTAATCTTTAGTTCCTTCAAATTCCCTCTAGTTCCCATTTTTAAAAAATCTTATTTTATTTTGGTTTTTTAAAAAAACAAAACCCCATGCAAAACAAACGCATTTTTTTACTGGAAGAATTCTTTATAATTAATTCCAAAATCTTATTTTAGATTTATCTGGACCCTCAGGTTGTTTGTAACTTTCTAAAATCAAAGTTTTAATCACCCTTTTTGCCGTTTATTAAAAAATTGTTTTAAGTTCTCAAACTTTACTTTAAATGTGCTTAGCTAACAATTGATGGAAACTCATTCAGAGTTGTAAAACTTGTCAATCTAATGGTTCCCAATAGCTGAAAAGCAGTTGACAAGCAATTCCTGAAAGTGATTAAAACAAAGTATGCAAACTTGGTGTCTTTTCAAAGGCACCAACTGCAGTTTGAGCAAGATGGCTATTCCTTTGCCTATTAGAGCTCTAAACCTGCCTGAGACCGCTGTCTTGTCGTCTCCTTGTGAGGGATAACTGTCTTTAGCACTTGGGGACAATCTTAAGTCTTTTCCTTGTCCAAAGTGGAATTATCAAAGAGCCAATCTACTTACCAGCTCTTCATTATTGCCGTGGCTGGTAGTGCCCCTCCAGTGAAACATGATCAACGTGATATGATTACTGTGGCCCTCATATGTTGCTGAACTGTAGCTCTCAAGATCCTTGGAGTTGCTTAGAGTGGTAAATTAATTTGGAGAGACATAAATTACTATGGTTGTATAATGTAGTTACCTATGATTAACTAACCTATGGTTTATGAATTTTCAGGATTTAGATGGCCTACTTAATCATAAATTAACATTAGGGGCTATGTTAATAAACGTAGTAGGCCAAAATATAAAGGTGATTTATGGTTCAGTGTGTCAGGTAAACACAACTCTAGACTTCAAAGAGTCATTTTAACGAATTGTCAACCACAGTCATATGTACCTTTCTGACTTTCAAATCATTTGGTTGGTTGAGACTGTTAGAAAAAAAATCCAATAGCCCACAATAGAAGAGCTTTGTAAGTTTGGTGTCTGGACAATAAACGTCTTCTTCTAAATCTTCCTCACTTTTTATTTTAATCACTAGATATCTGCTCCTCAAGAGAGACTATATTCTACATGGATTGGGTATGTACAACATCTCCTGCAGCAGAAATTGTAGTTTTACTTGCCTTTACATGGATTCACACACTTCCTTAAAATAAAAAGTGATTCATTTAAAGCTAAGAAACTCTGAACTAGAGTCTTTTACTCCGTATGATATACAACAAATTACTGCAGTTAAATAATGTGAAGGCTCTTTAGGGACGTTTGAAACAAACTTTTTAATAATGATATGCTAAAATGAAGAGACTGGGAAGCTCTAGTAGGACCTATATTTATTCTCCTAAATGGGCAAAAGTGGTGTTCTATTATGTATTTTCGCACGCAGTAAGAAAACACTGCCTGCACTGACTTGTGTTTAGATAAAGTCCTGCATGACTTTGCATTGCAAAAGATATTAAACAAATTCCAGAGAGCAAGTTTACTTATTAAAATCTCAATGGGCTAACTGGAACTCACTGTTGCCATATGAACTGAATGCTCCCAGCATATGTGCACTTTATTTAGAGACAGTGTGATTGCTAATGTATAGTGGTTAAGGTGCTGGAAGATCCAGATTCCAATCCTTGCTTTGACTTAGAAGTCAGCTAGTTGACTTTGGCCAGTCAATCTTCAGTAAAAAAAAAGCTCTATTTCTACATTGAATTGATTCAGGATAGTAATAGTAGTAGTAGTAGTAGTAGTAGTAGTAGTAGTAGTAGTAGTATAGATGATAGATAGATAGATAGATAGATAGATAGATAGATAGATTTAGATAAGTCAAGTGCTAATTATTTTGTTGCCACTTTTGAAAAGAAAACTCCAGACATCCTTTAGTTTTCATTAACAGCTTAATAACTATGGTATTTTTAGAAAGAGTTAAAATGTTCCTGATAGTCTTGCATCTAACTCCTGTGCTTGTTCCTCTACAGAGGCTCCATCCTGGCTTCACTTGACACATTTAAGAAAATGTGGATTTCCAAGAAAGAATATGAGGAAGACAGTTCCTGGGCAATCCACCGAAAAACCTTCTAACTCAAGCAAATCCAGGGGTCTCTTTAGATGTTTGTTCTTATTCTCAACTCTCTTCTGAATCTCCAAGGAATTCTCTGTTTGTGTGTGCATGAATGGATAGATGGGTGCCAGCACACCCTGGACTTTGACAGAGCCAAAGGGAAAGGAAGGAAACCCTATTATATCTCAGACGAAATTTTGGGTAATATAAAAGTGAATAATAAGATGGAAATAGAATATGTCAACTAATATTTGATCAAATTCAGATAGGCTGACAAGGTGGAAACTGAGCACAGAAAATGATAGTTATTTCCATGCTCAGTGGACATTTTTCAGATGGTTAATTCAGAGCTTTCCTCCCCCCCCTTTTTTTCCCTAACATATGCAGAAAAGAGAATAAGCACATTCTTAACTGTTAAACTCCATTTACTGCTGTGTACATGTATGTATATTCTTAGGCTGGTGTGTGTGAATCAGAATCACGATATGATAGTTGGAGCAGTTAATTTTAGGAACTAGTTTATAATGCATGGCCTAGATCAGAAAGCTCTCCTTTGTTCTTTTCTAGACAATTGGTTTTGTCAGCCTATAATAAAGCAGCTGTCATTTAACTAAAGGAAGATGATTCCAAAATGTGTTTGATGGCCCGTTCTGTTCTTCCTCTGTACCCTCTCTCTTTTCCTAAACAAGTAAGTTCTACATGGTAATCTTGATTAATGCAAATACATTGTGCCTGTGTCACAATTTCTGCCCAAGGGGTCTTCAGCCAAGCGTGGTGGGAGCCATGCAATTGTTTTGAGACTTGTTTTATTTATTGAGAAGTTTTGGTGATTGCTGAACTACTAACTACTACTAAAATTAGTTCCACCATTTTCTATGTCCTATTATATTGTATTTGCTCATAGTTTAATATTAGCACTAATGTTTTAACAAAATATTTGTTAAATGCTATGAGGTCTGTTTGGTGACCCTGCTGTATTATTTTTGGATTTGTTGCTTCAGTGAATGCACCACATGAGAAAACAGTGAATTGTATTAGAATGTTTGAGTGTAATAGTAATCTCCAGAAGATTGGCATTCTAAAATAATGTCAACCACTGATTTTACATACTACAAAAAGGAGAATTAATCTGCTTTGAACTCATTTTTGTTTGTTTTTTTTATACATATTTTGGTGCTTACGTTTTTTTACTTTGCTGCTGAAAACCAAATATTTTTGCATTTTTGTCCATTTAAGTATTTAAAGATTAGGCATCAGAAAAAGAAGCCTTACATCTACCAATAGCCAAATATTGGAAGAGAAACTGTAGTCAGGAGTAAAAATTAAAGAACTTGTACTATCCCAGAGGAGAAAAGCAGAGTGTTTGTTATTGTAGTATATTATAAATGTGATCCTGTTGTGTTTTTGGTTGAAAGCCTGTGTTCCTTCTTCCTTCAGTGACAGAAAAATTACACATCATTTAAGTAGGCAAACTGATTATTTAGTGGCAGACTGCCTCTGTTTTAGTGTTTATAAAAGCAGGATCCATACTGGTTGAATGGATGGAGGAAAATATAGCTTCTCTTGCAAGCAGGCTGATTAGAAATGCATATAATGCATGTAGTCTTGTGCATTATTCAGCTATCCTTTAGTGTTAAAAATAGAGTAAGGATACAGTTCTCCCTGAGTAAGTTTTGCTTAGTCCCCTTCTAGTGTAAAAGCAGATATATTTTTCAGAAGAGTCTTTAATTATAATTGACTTATAAGCGAGGAAAACAAACAGACATATCTGAATTCAGCAATTCTCTACGTTTACATAAATAGTTGTGTAGTAAGGGATGTGTAGAGTCCCTTGAAGCTATTTCTTTGGTTACATAAAAAGGATTTTTGGAGCAAAGGATTTGTTCCTTTAATGAATAATATTCAAATTTCAGCATTATGTCCTTATTTTCATTCATGAAAATCTATACTCAATCTTTCAGAATGAGTCTGAAAGACTCTGCCCATTTAACAATCCTTTAAGACTAAAGAATAGCATAAAGCATTTTCTATTTCTGAGTTTATTGAGAATAATAGTTAAAATACTAAAAAAAATGACTGTACGCTACATTTTGCAAGGCTGTTCTAAAATGCTGCTACAAATGATTGCATATAACTATCTTCTGTGTGTTTCTTTATTTCCTGATATATTTATGGTTTTCTTACCTTGGATGTATCATAACCATCTAAGGTGACATTGCTAGGAGATCATATCCTCATTACAAAATAACAGTCTCACAATTCAGTCATTGTTGTAATTAAACCTTCCTGAACAAGTCATTTAGTGTGTTATTGGAACTGAAATGAAAGTTTTGCTATGCTTGATTCAAAAGTTCATTGCATGCCTGAGCAAGATCTTGAGAAGTTGATGCGCTTTGATTTTAACTATTTGCTTTCTAAGCAGAGGCTCAAGCAAGGTCATTGTTGTGTTGATCAAGGCTTGAGTTGTAGATCTGTTTTTCTACACAAGTATACTTTTTTTCTGTTGGTTCTAAATGTGTTCAGATACAGTAGAAGCCCAGGGTACTGACATTAGACAAAGTTTAGAAAACTACAGAATTAAATGCAGATTTAGACGCAGTAGCCTAGTTACAAAAAAAATATTGAGTATTGTATTAGCTTTTTTTTGACAAGATTTATGTACAGGGTAACCTGGGATTTCTCATGGAAGACCACAGGATTGGTTTTTCATTGCAGGAAAGGGCAAATAGCCCGTATTTCTTACCTTGCACTATGGTAATGTCACATTTTATTCTAGTTGTATAGCATTTGAAATGTGTGTCCAGTGCAGGCTACTACTTTGGAGGCCTTGAGTCTTGCTTGAGTTACTTGAAAAAACATAAAATTTTAGTATTAATAAAATTTGTACTGTAATTGCAGTAATGAAGGGATATTTGGAAATAATAAGGGCTACAGCTTGTACTGGTATGAAAGATGGCAAACCATTACTGTAATTTATTTTAGTTCATGTTTATAGCTGTATGTTTGTGGAACTAGCATTCCTATATATAAACAATCCTTAATTACCCCCTTCCCTTCATTTAATTCATGGCAATTTTTCCTTTTGTTTTGACATCAGAAGCAGTAAAATTGTATACTAAACAGACAAACCCAGCACTGGTTTAATCAGTCTGATGCTATACTTTACACAGATGTGCAAAATCACTGTGGGGTATTACCTACTGTACGTAAATAAAATTATTAATATACAGTGTGGTTATTTGCTTGGAGACTCTGCTTTATGATTTAATTAATGTAAGTGATCTTATTTTCGTTTAAGTCTGCTTGGTGAACTTGGGCCAATCACTTTCTCTCAACCCTATGAAGGAGGCAGTGGCAAACCACTTCTGGAAAAAAAAAACATTGCCAGGAAAATTGCAGGGATTTGTCCAGGCAATCTTTGAGAATTGGGCACAATTAAACAGAAAAAGAAAAAAATATCATTGAAAAGTTGGTGTCCTTTTTGGAAGTAATTCTGTTTGTAGCAGATACAGCCAAATCTTAATCTTCTACTTAGCTTTCATGGCATCCCTTAAGACAGCTAGGATTCTTACATTACTAGACAAGCTTTCTTCAGTTTAAAACATTCCAATGTTGGAGGAACACTTCCAGGTTATGCAGCCAAGCTGGCCTAATATAATTTGTATTTTTGTTATTGCTGATATTTTAATAATATACTTGAGTTAGTGGCTTGATTGATCCTCTTGCCACCACCTGTCTCGGAGCACCACAGTTGGCATCCACCTTCTGACCCTAGCAAGAGAGAGCTCACATTCCTGGCAATTTAAAAGTCAAAATGCAAAAAAGTGAAAGCCCTACAGCACCATTGCATGGCCATGTAGTATAAATGTGTGTGGTGACTGAAGGGTTCAGCTACTCCTTTTCCTTAGTGATAAAACAAAATCAAACTTAACTGAAAAAAGAAAAAATGCGATGTAAACCTTTGCATATCTGACTCAATGTCTGCATTGCTGGGCATGTGGATTGTGCCTCTGTGCCTGTAGTTTGGCATGCAAGCTAAATTCAGAAAAAAACGAAGAGATTTCATTGGATTAGTTTTTCCTTCCTTTTTCTACAGAAAGGAAAGATAAGTCCTCACAGGACATACACAGAAAATTTTGACGTAGAAAGACAATTGATTTTCTCCCTGTTGCTCTCAAAGTTTGCTGTGATGTTGATTTGGGGAAAGGATGCTTAGTGCCCCGAAAAACAGATCAGACCAGAACTGTAGGAAATACTATAAAGAAAGTCTCACGTTTCCTAGTAGGTAATTGTGACTTCTCTTACATGTATAATAACGAGAGAGAAAAGGCTTAGGACTGGTTCATGTTAAGTATATTGTCCTAATACCATCACTTATATTTGTATACCCTTATAATAGTTGTACATTAATATGATTTGGTGAAGCCAGCCAATAGCCTGAGATAGGAACAAAATACTTTTGTGAAAAGCCATCTCAATATTAACTACCATATAGCCACCAAATCAAACCATCAATGTCTCTCATGCACACATACATAACGCAAAATAGATTTTAAAAAGGACGTTTAATGAAATGAAAATCAATGTAATCAGTATATAAATTGAGAGCAATAAATTACTGAAGCCATCCAACAATACAAAAGCTGTAAACATTTCATCATCCTGATCCCTGTTCTTTGAAGGCAAAATGGCAGTTGCAGCAACTAGGCTACTGTCTAAACAAAGAAAGTGAGACTTGGCACACACAAAGGAGGATACAACTTGGTCCTTACAGGAAACGTAGCCCAAAACATTTGGGGAAATCAAGGGTATTGCTAGGCAATTTCCTGTGATCAGTATTTCTGCATAAAAGTGATTTCATAAGCCAGTTCTGCTCAGCAAGCGGCAGCTTTTTTAGCACAGGGCAGAAAAATTCAGAAAAGCAGAATTGTTGAACAAACCAATACTTGCACTGATTCAGTAGAAATGCACAGACCACTCTAGCCCCTGCTCCCCTTTTGCCAGAACAGGAGAAAGTGGGTTTTCAGCATAAGCATTAGGACTAGTGATTGAAAATGCATGTTTTCAGATTCTGACAGCTGCATCTGTCTTCAGTACTTTCCTTTTAAAAACAAATTTCTATCTTGAATTATGAGTGGGAATACAGTACATTCATTCTCTTGAAAAGGATGAACGTTGACAGTACATGACCAGTTTCAAAACCACAGAATCTTAAGTGCTCTACTGCCCACTGTGAGAAATCATTAAGTTACATTTATTTTAGCTGTATTTGGTTAAACCAAGTTTGACCACCAATCCAATGCAAAAAAGAATAGAGATAATAGAATACTATAACCCTTATTGTCACCTGTGACAAAGCTGTCTATAAACAGTATATGGGGGAGAAAGAACAGAAGGTTGCCAATTTACTCAACTCTTATCTCTTCTTCATTAATATGACTATTTATAATCTGACTGTTTAGCTCCCAAGCCTGGAAATGAATTAGAATCAATATGATCAGCAAGTTAATTGACAAAATATCACTTTTTCTGGACAACCTTGGATACAAAGATACAAACTTTGAAACCTCTGTGAATTCTACAAGACTGACCAGAACCCTGGACGGCCTCACAAGAAATTTCAAGATAATTCAAAAGCTTCCATTTATTTTCCATTAGCCAAGGCTGATCTGAAAAAGATGTAACGAATTCCCCTTTGCTCCCACTTTTTCCTTTTTAGATGGGTCATGCAGTCATTGACAGTGAGAAGATGCTGCTCACTGTTATCTTCACTCGCAATTAAATGGTCTTGATTTCTTGAGAGTGACTCTCTGTAAAAGCTTGACGTTGAGATTTCACTGTCTGAAGGCGTCTGCCGTGCAAGCTGAATTGTGACCAGGTGAGGAGCTGCAGTAAAGCACAGGTCATGGGAACAAAAACGAGGAGGTAGAAGCAGCCCTGGCGTAGTGTAGGTTTCCAAGCTACACTGGAAGCCAACCTTGGCTGGGCACTCACTATACTGCTCAAGGGATCCCGCTGAAAAATGTCATAACCTGGGTCAAAAAGAAAGATGAGAATGAGAACCTGGGTCAACACGAAAGATGAGAATGATTTCAAGAATTGAGACGGTCTAGTTTGATCTTGTCATTGTCATTTTTACTGAAAACCTTTTTCATTTCTTTCCCCATTGTATTCAGGCACTTCCAGATTAACAGCTGTCCTGATGACTCCATTATCTGCTTTTGTAAAAATAATGAAGCCAGGCTTGAACAAGTTCTCAATATTTATAACCAGGACATTATTGGGATGGCCATTTACTTCTTTGTAAGGCTACCTGATTCACAGGGCAAAAAGTAATAACTGTCCCTTCTGATCAATCAAACATAAGATATGCCGTGCCTGTTCCCTCGGTTATGAACCGAAACTCATTTTCTTCTCTCTTTTTAGCAAAATAGTAAAAACAAGTGCAGTTGTAAGGGCCACGTGGCAGCAGGGCAGGGGACTCTGTTCACTTTTATACTGCAACTGCACTTCTCAGGAAGATCTTTCACTAGAAATACAAATATTTCCCTGCATGAAGTGGTCTTAGCAAAACAAAAGAAAATGAAATTCTCTTAACAAGAATCCTTAAAAGTTTAGATTAAAATATTTTCCATCAAGCATATTTAGTGTAGAAAAACCCCATTCCTTTTGGTGGAACCTACTGGGTATGAGGTTTATTCATGAACAAAAGATCCTAGCTTGTTATTTCAATCACAAAGCTCATTGGTGTGGTATCTAAAAAAGCAAAACGTGAACCACCACATCACTAAGGGAAAGGGATTTTTTTTCTCTCCTGTAGATTCATAGTTCAGCAAAAAAAATGTAGGGCAAGTTTAAGAAGAGTTTTTCTAGATTTAGTCTAGACATATTCCCCAAGGAAAAAGATTTGTAACTAATAAGCTGATAATAAAAAGCAAAACAATGAATATTGTCATTGCTGATGTGTTATCTGCCCAATCAGAAAAGCTATCAGTTATCCTGCTCTGATATTCCATCCAATTCTCTCACCGCCCTTCACCTACCAGTGTAAGCAGAAAGCAGCCAGGTGCCAATCAAGGGGGCAAAGGTTTGGCCTGGTTTAGTTACCAAGGCCACCATGCCAAACAAGAGGGCTGAGGCAGCCTGCTGCCTCCGATTTAGCACCAAGTCTTCATCCACCAAGTCAGACACTACCAGGTTCAGCAATTTGCAAGTCCCTTCAGTAAACACACGGTTACTAGAAAAAACGGAGAGAGGCTGTTAACAGAAAGCACTGGCATCAGGCTAAGAGAAATTTCATTCTTGGCTGATTTGAAACAACTGGGAGTTAACTCAGTGCAAGAAACTCTCTCTTTGTTTGCTTATGTGTATGTGTCTATAAATATACGCATGAATGTGGGTGCATGTACATCAGGAGTGGGAACCAATTCCTGGCTCAGGAATTCTGGGAGTTGAAGTCCACAAGTCATAAAGGGGCCATTGTTTCCCCACCTCTGATGTACATGATATTCAGGAAAAGACCCATAAAAGGAACACCGAAGCATGTGGGGAAAGGTGCTAGCTGCAACACCCACAGCTGCCTCCAAAGTTTATCAGCACAAAGTGTAAAAGTTCATTTGTACAATTTTTAATATTTCTTTGCAATTAAAAATATGAAAAAAAAACCTTTGGAATATCATTACCACCGAGGTGAGATGTTTCCTAACCCTATTGTCCGCCCCGAAGGTGCTGAAAACCTAGTTTTGCCATCAGGTCCTGGGTTCTTGTGGGAAATCTAACCTCAAATGGCTGTAAGCTTTTGATTGCACTCTCCTGTGTTTTCTATGTCTACCTTTTAATTGTCCTAACTGTTTGATATATGTGATAAATGAGCAGGTTTGATAAGCTTCTCTAGGACATAAAACATCTCTTTCCTTCCAACCTTCTTCCTCACAATGAAAACAGATCAAATTTACCATACCCATATATTTCTTTATACCCTCTAATCTCCTGTGGCCATCACAATCTGACTTTAATGAAAAATAAAAATAATAAAAATATGGGCTCTAGCCAAAAAACCCCCCAAACCTGTCCCCACTTTAATATGCTCCTCAGCATGGCACCAACAATAACTCTGTTCACCAAATCATTAGCCACAATGACACATATTAAAACACCTCATTCCTCAGGGGCTAGATTTGTAATATTTAAAAAAAAATGAAAAACCCACTGAGCTTCAGAAATCTGATTCTTCAGTCATCTCCAAAACACATTAGTATCTCAAGAGATATAAGTAACCAAGCAGGCACTCAGAATTAAAATGTTAAAGAATTTAGCTTCACTTCTATGACATCAATTTATGTCTAATATTTTATCATAGCAGGCCTAGCCCATTGTGTTTACCTAGCCGAATTCTCCAGTGTCATAGCAACATAGCAATAAATACCTGGCTATGAAGAAACAGAGCAGGTAGATCCAATCTGGTCCAGCAAGAAACATAATCACACTGAGCAACAGTTTCAGGAAGAAAAGCCCTCGCACCACAGCATATACGCCCCACCTCCGGCAGAGAGAGAGGAAGTAGAGGTTATTGAGGTGAGGAGCCACGTAAGAAACACCTGAAGCAAAGAATAAATAAAGGAGAGTCAGAGCTTAACGGCACAATCTCTATTTACATACAGAAGATCCTGGAAAGAATCTTTCATCATCTAGAGCAGGGGTAGTCAACCTTGGCTCTTTTATGACTCGTGGACTTCAACTCCCAGAATTCCTGAGCCAGCACAGCTGGCTCAGGAATTCTGGTAGTTGAAGTCCACGAGTCATAAAAGAGCCAAGGTTGACTACCCCTGAGAGGAAGTGTAGGAAAAGAGACCTGCCTAAAATCCTGAAGTTAATACCAAACTAGCCATGTTTTTTTCTTGGTAATGACTTCCTTTGCATTTATGTACCCAGCAAGAAATGAAGACAATAACTTATATAGATTCTGAATAAACCAGCTAAAATTACTTTGGGGACCTTTGATTTTAAGAACTCAAAGCATAAAATGGATCTGATTTCACTGCACTAAATATCATTTTTAGCAGGGCAGACTAGACACATATCTTACAACCAATCATGTTCCTCCTTTTACAATAGCAACATTACCCTAATCAATCAACCATAATAAAGGTCAGACATAACTAATGTCTCATTTTTTTTCCTCCAATCAACCTTTATTATGATCAAAGATCAACATAAGGAGGGTGCAGTACAAAAAAATTTAAAACATAAAAATACAACACAAAAATAAAATTACATAAATGTATAAAAACAAAAATCTGGAAAAGGTCTAAAAAGAAAAATAAAAGCAATAAACGGACATTAAAACATACATTTTATTGTATTATTAGAAATCTTGATACCTTGTATTATTTCAATATAGTCATGTTAATAATAATAATAATAATAATAATAATAATAATAATAATAATAATAATAATAATAATAATAATAATAAAAATAAAAAGTTGGAAGGGCTTGGAGGTCATCTAGTCCAACCTCCTGCTCAGGTAGAAAATCCTATACCATTTCAGACAAATGGCTGTCCAGTCTCTTCTTAAAAACTTCCAGTGTTGGAGCATTCACAGCTTCTGGAGGCAGGTTGTTCCACTGGTTAATTGTTCTAACTGTCAGGAAGTTTCTCCTTAGTTCTAGGTTGCTTCTCTCTTTGGTTAGTTTCCATCCATTGCTTCTTGTCCTGCTTTTAGGCGCTTTGGAGAATAGCTTGACTCGCTCTTCTTTGTGGCAGCCCCTGAGATATTGGAACACTGCTATCATGTCCCCCCCTCATTCTTTTCTTCATTAAACTAGACATACCCAAATCCAGCAACCGTTCCTTATATGTTTTACCCTCCAGTTCCCTAATCATCTTTGTTGCTCTTCTCTGTACTCTTTCTAGAGTCTCAACATCTTTTTTACATTGTGGTGACCAAAACTGGATGCAGTATTCCAAGTGTGGCCTTATCAAGGCATTGAAAAGTGGTATTAATACTTCACGTGATCTTGATTCTATCCCTCTGTTAATGCAGCCTAGCAATGTGTTGGCTTTTTTGGCAGCTGCAGCACACTGCTGGCTCATATTTAAGTGATTGTCCACTAGGACTCCGAGATCCCTCTCACAGTTACTACTATTGAGCAAGGTACCACCTACTATACCTGTACATTTGGTTTTCTTGCCTAAATGTAGAACCTTACTTTTTTCACCATTGAATTTCATTTTGTTAGATAGCGCCCAGTGTTCAAGTCTGTCCAGATCCTTCTGTATCTTAAGCCTGTATTCTGGAGTGTGGCTATTCCTGCCAGCTTGGTGTTGTCTGCAAATTTGATGAGTTCCCCATCTATCCCCTCATCCAAATCGTTGATGAAGATGTTGAAGAGCACTGGGCCTAGAATTGTTTTCCCCTTGAGGATTCTCATCCATGGAATCCTTCCCAAGCCCTAAGTTTATTGAAATTAGCTCTCTTAAAGTCCAAGACTCTAGTTTGACTGTGTTCTATTCCTTGTGCTTCCATAATGTTGAATTCCAATATTGCATGATCACTTCCTCCCAAGGTTCCTGTGGCTTCAACACCTTCTATCATTTCATCTCTGTTAGTGAGAAATAGATCCAATATGGCTAATCCCCTAGTTCCCTTCTCTACTTTTTGGGAGACAAAGTTGTCGGCTAGGTGCAGAGTTTGTCTCCGAGTTGATGTCAGGGTAATTAAAGTCCCCCATTACTATTGTGATGTGCTTCCTACATATCTTAGTTAACTGACTAGCAAAAAGTTCATCTATTTCCTCTGTTTGGTTGGGTGGCCTATAGTATACACCTATGGCAATGTCATTTCCCCCCCTTTTATATTGACCCAAATGCATTCAAGACAGTTTTCATCATTGTTGTGCTCTATTTCTGTAGAGATGTAGTTATTTCTTATATAGAGAGCAACTCCACCTCCTCTTTTATTTGGTCTGCTTCTTTTAAATAATTTAAATCCCTCTAGCTATGTGTTCCATTTGTGGGTTTCATCCCACCATGTTTCCGTAATGGCAACAATATCATATCTGCCCTCATTAACCTGAATTTCTAGTTCACCCTGTTTACTCTGTGCATTGGTATATAGACATTTGAGTCCTTTATGACTGACTCTGTGTTTATTTTCTACATAACCTGTGTGGTGCCGGAGATCCCCTATTTTCTTACCACCTGTTTGGTTAGTGCATTTTGTGTGGCACTTGCTATTAAAAGCTTGATTTTGCTTGACAGCAAGGTTGATATTCTTGTCCACACACACATCTATGTTACATGCACTGATAGTCCTATAATTTTTAGATTGCCAGGAACAGGGATGTTCTGTATCAATTAATTCACTGTCCCCGTTGTTTAGTTTAAATATTCCTCCAGAAAATCTGTGAATTTATTGCCGAGTAACTCAGTCCCTTTCTTTGAT